CCCCCCCCCACACACACACACGTACATGCACATACATGTATGAATTTATCCTAGGCACTTTTCAGTGCGAAACAGACCAAGTTGAAATGCCCAGTGAAAGCTGACCAGGTCACAGCCTTTGGTTCTTCACAGGAACTGAGCTCAGAAATCCTTAACTGAAAACCGAGTTTTTCACATTACAGTTTGGGATCCCTTTGTGCAGAGGTTAATGAACTTTTTTTCTGCACAGGGATAGAAAATAGAAATTTTAGGCTAGGCAGGCCATAAAGTCTTTATTACTAGTATTCATAAATTATTAATGACAAACTCATTTTAAATTGAAACTTGATCGTTTTCCAATAATAATTTATGGACAGTAGAATGTAAAGTTGTATAATGCGTCATAGAATATTATTCTTTTGATTATTTTAGCACATAGAAAATTTATGTATTTTAGCACATATAAAAATTATTATTAACTTTACAAAAGTAAAGTGGATCTTGGCACTCATTTTTGATAGGCCCTGCATTTGTTTAATTAGAATCTCTGGATATAGAGCTTGATGGTCAATGTTTTTTAGATGCCCTCAGATAATTCTAACATGCAAGCAACACTTTGCTTCTCTGCACTAATGGGCCATGAAATAAGTTCCCTGGTTCTCACAGGCATTAAAAATTGAGGTGTATAAAATAGAACAGAAAATATCAAAGTGTATCACATATTACAAGGTCAAGTATCATTCTGTGGAATTTTGCATCATGTGTGTTTATGATACATGTTCATGTGAATAGTGAGGGTCAGCATACGTTCACCATTTCTCAACAAAGCTGATTGTTTTAAAATTGATCTGCTTGGTTATACTCTTATCTGAATACCTGGCTCCTAGAGAGGCAGAGGGAGTACTGAAAGATTCACTTAATGACATACTTGAGGTTTTCACTAATCATTGCCATTTAGTTCATAAGTAACGTTACCCAGCTTCCATAAATTCCGTAAAATCAGTAAGAGTTTCTGTGTATGCTGGGCCATTAATACATTCAGGAGTTTTGAGACAGGCTGCTTTTTAAAACATTAAATTAGACAATGAGATTATTAGTAAATGTGTGATATGCTTCTCAGAATATACACAAGGACAAGGCTAAACAAAACATTATGAATATATATATATATATATAATATATTCAGAAACAAAGAATATGCAATAAAGTATGGAATAAAGATAAGAAAGAAAGTGTCAGCTGTAAATTCACAAAAGCATATGGATTAAATTTCTGTGTCAAAAAATGTAGATCTTGGCTGGGGATTTAGCTCAATGGCATAATCACCTGCCTGCCAAGCATGAGGTCCTGAGTTCAGTCCCCCGTATAAAAAAAAAAAAAAGAAAATGTAGATCTTTGTTTGAAGTTAAACATACAGATTATAAACACTTATACTAGATCACAAGGAAAAGAAAATGAAAGAATTCAAAATGTGTAAAAATTGTGAGTAAAGGTACACTAGACAAATAAAAACAAAACTAGAAATCACAATACTAATACTAGACTAAGAACAAAAACCAAAGACATTAAAAAGATGACAATGATGAATTTGTAAGGATATATTACATGATGATTATTATATAAATATATACCATTATAATCTTATAGCATAACAATAAAGAACATAAAGCAAAAGAAGAAACGGCCAGAAACATGATAGTAGTCTGAATTTTTAACATTTCTCCTTCCGTGACAAGTCAATAAAGCAAAAAGCAAACATTAGGATCAGAACAATGTTAGCTTTGACATCCCAAGTTACTGATTTAAACTTTTTTTGTTAATAAATAAATGAGTGTAGACTCTGTTATGCCATCCTACATCCCCACACATGCATTTTGAAGGGGCATTGCTACATTGCCTGACAAAATATTTTGAGTTCTCACACAATCTATTCATGTTTTTGTGCTTTGTGTTTATTTCCTTTTGGGCTTTAAGGCTAATTACAATGTAAAAATGAGTGGTAGCATCAAAGAAAAATCCCTAGATTTAAAAAGAAATCTAACCTGTACTAAAAAGACCTAACAGAGTAACAGAGAAGTCGTATGGTCAGAGTTAGTTCATTAGCTACACCTCAGTGCAACAGACTTTCACTACAGGTTTCACCTTAATGAAAAGAAGCAGAAAACTGAACGACAATGTTATAAGAGTAAGGAAAGTCTAAGTCTGAACAACACTATATATGACAAAGTATAGCACTGTGGTATATCCACTAAGTGCCTTGACTCCAGAGTCGAATTTCCTACATTCAAATTAATTCAGCAAAGGACCGACTGAGATTTTTGAACAATTAATCTCTGTATCTTTGTTTCACCCTAGTAAAATGAGAATAATAGTAATGTTTATCATATGGATTTATTGACCAACTTAAATGAATAAAAATTGCATGAATTTTTGCAGATGGAAAAGCTGACTCTAAAATTCATATGGAATTGTTAGAAACTAAACTACACCAATCTTGAAGACCTATTTCATGATTTCAAAAACTTATAATGAAAAAATGATAATGAGACATGTGATATTCCCTTCTAAGAGTAGATATATGTGTATATCAATCGATGTAACTGAGAATCCAAAAGCAAACTTATATACCAAGAATATTTAATAGTGAAAGAATAACAGAATCATCAACAAATGATTCTGGGAAAGCTAGAAGATCCTCATGCTAAAAAAGTGAAGTTGGATATTAATCTCACATTGTATAGGAGAATTAACTCAAAAGAAATAAAAATTTAAATATAAGAGACCTGACTACAAACTCTTGAAGGAGAGCATATGAATACATCTTCAAAACTTTGAATTTGGTAATGGATTTTTAGATCTGACATCAAAAGCATGAGCAATAAAAGAGAACATAAATAGGACTTCATAAAAATTAAAAGCTTTTATCAAAGGACATTATCAAAAGTAAAATTACAATCCATAGAATAAGATAAAATACTTTTGGATTGTATATCTAATAAGAGGCTATTAGGAACATGAAAAGAAATCTTGCAACTTGACAAGGTTCACTCATATTGTAGCATGTGATGTTCATTCATCTTTATGGCTGAATATTATTCCACTACACAAATATACCAAATTTGCTTCTCCATTTATAATTTACAGGAAATTTGGGTTGCTTCTTGCTTTTGATTATTGTAAATTGTGTTACTATTAATATTTTTGTTTGAACACCCATTTTCAATGCTCATAGGAATATTCCTAAAAATAGAACTGCTGCGTTACAACAATTTTACATTTAGCTCACAGAGGAACCATTGAACCATATTGTATGAAATAGGTAAACTCATAAAATATGTAAATTAGTGAGTGTCGAGCACTGATGGGGAGTTACTGATAATGGCTATAGAATCTCCTTTTAGAGTAATGAAGAGGTTCTTTAACCAGATAGTGGTGACTATTGCACAATATTGTGACTGTAGAAAAGGCCCCTGAAGTTGGCATGGTGGCACATGCCTGTAATCTTAGTATTGAGACTGAGGCAGGAGGATTGCTGTGAGTTCAAACGGACTACATGGTGAGTTCAAGGCCAATCTAGATGACCGAGCAAGATCTTGTCAAAAAAAAAAAAAAAAAAAAAAAAAAAAAACCCTTAAGAAAAATAAAGGTTCCTGAATTATACAGTTAGAAATGGTCAATGGGTAAACATTATAATCATGTGCCTTTCATTTCAAAATAATTAATGTATGTAAGGAATTCAGAGCAGCGTCAGACACAAACTAAGTGTTTTATCATTGTTAGCTAGTATTATTCAAAGCCTAACTATACTAGAAACCAACTGCATAGGAATCCAGAGATGAGCTATTATGGTCTCAGTCTCTTTCCATTCAAATGTGACAGTATTGAAAGGCAGGACTTTCAAAACATGATTAAGTCATAAGGACAGAGCCCTCATGGATGTGACTAGGGCTGTTACCACGGGGTTTGTGGGACGAGGTTTGCTTCCTTTCGTTCCTTCCACCATTCCAGGCTAGTGTTTTCTCTTTAGCTTAGGTTTTCCTCCCTTCTGGAAGACGCAGCCCAAAGGTACCCTGTGGGAAGCAGAGAGCAGTTCCCATATACCTATTGCTGGGATCTAATCTGTTCTTCCCTTTATCAAATGAGTTTATTTTTCTTATTCTATCTATTAAATGTTTAAATGTAGCATCAACTTTTAGGATTGCACACACCATAGGGAGAAACTCTGATCTTCTGCTTTGGAGACTCCAAACACATTGCTGAATTTTGAGTTTTATCTAAAACATTAAGGGACCCGGGTTTCGAAAAAAATGAGAGGTCAGGCCTGCATGGACCTCTGTGTGCACCCTTGGGCCTTTGCCAGGGATAAGCATGGTGCAAGGGGGCTGAGGGAAGCATGCACTATGTTCTAGAATTTGCTGGCTTACGAGTGTGCTGCAGTCATTCACCACAGAGTCAGGCACGGTTCTGATTCCTAAGGTTCTATTTGTGGCCACAGTTTTGATATTTTTAGATACTGGAGATAACTAAGAAGATAACTAAGGCTCAGGAATGAGCTATGTGTCTCAATAGAAACAAGCCCTATAAAAAATTGAAAATGGGGAAATCTATTAACAGTAGATGACCTCCTCTGTTCACTCTTGCATCCTGTTCTTTTCTGGACCAGAGCCCCCTAAGTGGTCCTGCATGCAGCCTTGCCAGGTCGAGGAGCTACAGTTACAATGAAATGAAGCATCCACAGTGCAGGGATTGTGTTCTTTCACTTTGCTTTCAAAGCGTTTTAAACTTTTTGTCATTATATTATTAGAGTCTCTTTGTACAAAATTTAGAAAGCACTCAAAAGCAGAAAAAAAAAATTACCGACAATCCCATCGCCCAGAATAACTTCAAGTGTGTTTTCCCTTCATTTTAGTTTTACTTTACCAAATTCACTTTCAACAGAAAATTGCACAAGAAGAACTTATAAAAGCATAGAGATTACAACAATGGTTAGAAATTTATTATGTAAAACTTAAAGTTCTGACCTTCAGTTGATGGTAATGAACTATTCGTAGGTGCAGCTGCAAGGATGGATGCTGATGTTAAAATATAAGCTGTAGAGATAATGTGGAGAAATTACATTAAAATGTGCTTTCCACAATCTATACAATTGGAGAAAAGCTTCGGTGATTATTCATCTGATAGAGGATTAATACTCAGTACATAAGAACTCAGCAACTTAATTTAGCAATCCAATTAAAAGTGAGCGAACAATTTGAATAGGCAGTTAGAAAGAAAGAAAGAAAGAAAGAAAGAAAGAAAGAAAGAAAGAAAGAGACAGAGAGAGAGAGAAAGAAAAGAAAGAAAGAAAGAGAGAGAGAGACAGAGACAGAGACAGAGACAGAAAGAGAGAGAGAGAGAGAAAGAAAAGAAAAGAAAGAAAGAAAGAAAGAAAGAAAGAAAGAAAGAAAGAAAGAAAGAAAGAAAGACAGGTGTGTTGGCACAGCCAGGTGTGTTGGCACCTGCCTGTAATGCACCACAGGTGGTTGGGGTAGGAGGATCATGTGCTTGAGCCCAGCCTGGGCAATTATTGGGTTAGAAAGACATTGTCTCAAAATTAAAATAACAACAAGAACCATAATAATAACATTAATAATAATAACAATAATTAAAGGACTGGGAAGGTGGCTCGGTGTGAAGATTGGGGTTAGTCCCTAATACTACACACACACAAGTGATCAATAAATATATGAAAAAATGCCCAATATGATTAGCCACCAGAGAAACTTAAATGAAAATTGCAATGAGATTCCATTTCACTTCAATTAGAATGACTGTTACTTTTTTTATAAGCAGCAAGTATCATTAAGGATGTGAAGAAACATTAATTCATGTTCTCTTGGTGGGAATATAAATTAGTATAGCCTCTGTGAACAGCAAAATGAGGTTTCTAAAAGAACTAAAAATAGTTCTTCTATACGATCCAATTATTCCACTGAGTATTCTGAAAATCCAAAGAAAATGACATCGAAGAAATACGCGTACACTCATGCTTATTACAGTAAAGCACAAGAGCTAACACAGAGTCGGTCCACGTGCCCATCGGCAGATGAGTGGCAAAAGAAATGGAGTTTATGTACACTGTGAGATATTACTCACCCAGGTTTGTTACCCTGGTTTGAACCTTCCTAATACTTAGTGTCTATTTTAATATTAATCCTTATTAATTATGCTTATCTTAACTAATGCCTAACAATGGTGTAGCTGTGTCAGACACTGGAGTGGAGCGTATGCAGTGCACTGACTACTTTACATAATACTTCTGCTTTTCCTGTGAGGCAGGCACCAGTATGAATAATTATCTGTTCTGGTACCCAGCAGACTTGCAGATTTTGGGCTACATTTGAACCCAGTTCTGCCTGCTCCTCCTTCTAAGGTTCTTCGCCGCTTCTCTATTTTGAGCCTTAAGGAACCTTAGAAGCTGCTAGATGCTGTCTGTGTGTCTACAGAATGCTCAGAAGCTTAACTGCCCACCTTAGTGGGGTATCAGCCAAGTCACTAAGCGAAACACATTTCAGGGCATGGCCTGTTCCTCATCTCCATGCCAGGGATGCATCTTTCTAACACAGAGACACTGCACTGGAGAGGACATCAGTTATAACTCCTCCAAAAGAGGCCAGTTTTAAGGAGATTAATGTATGTGAATTTTTTTATTTTAATGAACTGATTTAGATTTTTCTCTAAGCCACACAACACGTAAATGAAAGGGTATGGTTATTTCCTGAATCAAAACTCAGTAATAGTTACACAGAGGGAAAACAACTCTTTCATGATTTCATGCTAAGACTTGTTCCTTTTTGGAAGAGAAATAGGAAATTATGTTTTTGAAAACTGAGAACCATAGACCTGTCATCACCTTCATTAAGAACCAAGCCAGCCACGAGGAGCACACACTTGTATTCACTGCCCTTCAGGAAATTGAAGCAAGTGGACTGCAAGTTTAAGTCCTCCCTGGCCAACTCAGTGAGACCCTGCCTCAAACTGCAGTTAAATAAACACAAATGGACTGGGAACTTAGCTCAGCAACAGTACATTTTGGTTTGCTACCCAGTAACAAGCACACAGCTATTTCACTTAGAAATTAATCTTATGGGAGCTAGGGATTTAGCTCACCGGCATAAGCGCCTGCCTTGCAAGCAGGCAGTTGTGAGTTCGATCCCCGGTACCAATAAAAAAGGAAAAAGACAACAAAAACAAACAAACAAACAAAAAAGAAATTAATCTTATGGCAAATCAAACCAAACAACAAATTTATTCACACAAGTATATTTGCCATATTTGATAAAAATTCTTTTCCTTCCAGCTAGGCTTAGAATCCAAGAAAACTTCTCAGACCAGAAAACGGTGATTCCATTACAAATACCTGGTGCCCTTGTGCCATATCTCCATTACAGCCCAAGTCCCAATAAAATCCATCTAGCCAATTGAAATCTAAGAGACTCCTCACTTATTTATTCATCTAAATAAGGTAGAAAAATGGGAGAAATTTGCATTTTAACCCATGTTTTGATATCCATCACACTAAGAGAAGCACCCAACTAAAACATAATAACATTAAGCTAGAAATTGCGCTCACCTGCCAACAGCAGTGCGATTGTTATTTTGTCGTACATCCTGGAATCTTGAGCTGACTCACAGAAGCAGTGCAAGCAAATTACTGAGGAGAACAGAGAATGTCAGTCCCTGGCCCTACCCACATGCTGTTATCTTTCCTGCCCACCTTCCCGGACCACTATCACGTGACAGGCATTGGACAGCTTTTTGCATAATGCAAAGTTGGTAGATGCTTGTTAGTAAAGATACACTACTATCTGCTTACCCAGGAACATAAAAGCGGTCACTTCAAGTGCCTGCTTCATGTTAAATTTTCTGTACATAATTTTGAGGAGACGACTGCCTTGGGTTAATTGTATTTACATAAGTTTAATGGGAAAGGTGAGGCAGTAGCCAAAAGCTGCTAAGTTAAGCACAGAATTAAGACTGTGGAGACCCCACATTCAGGGCCCCCAGGCTGTTGTACAGCTGTGAGCTTTCTCATTGCTGATAAGACTTCATATAATGTGATGGCCCTTGTGGAACAAGGTGAGAATTTCTTCTTGTTTGCAGGGTCTTTATAAACTTCAGGCTCACTGTGCAGCTCAGAAGGACTTCCTTCTCACAGAGAGCCTCCAGTCTCAGCCTCCAGAGTGCTGGGATCATGGGAGTGAAAACAGACTTCCTATATGTGCCAGCAATGTATCGGAGAATTTTAATTAGCATTTGAGTGTTCTGAAGTTTGAAAAGACTCAAACCGATGACAAATCAAATCACAGTCAAGGAGACACATATACAAGGCTTCTTTCACTGAAAAATGAATTTGAACAGAGCAGCCAGGGCCTGTGTTCTGTGCAGCCAGTGAGTTCTCTCCAAAATATTATGCTTTACTCTGTCATCAGGCGTTATTAACCAAGATAATAAATGCAAACAGTCAAAAACAAACACACTGACTCCAAACTGTATTGGAAAACAGGTTAAAGGTAAAGATGTGGAAACAGGAGAATGATCAGTGTTAAACGGAGAAAGTCCGAATCCTGGGCAGCAACCTCTCTCAGCACAGGACACAGAAAGTGAAGGACGTTTGGTTCATGGTCACTGGAAGGTTAATACAAGTTCTTCTCTTCCTTTGCATGGACAAGTGTACTGGCTGGATGAAAGAGCCGCAAACGTGGTGTTTTCTCAGTGTGGGAACTAAAAGTCAGATCTCTCGCGTTACACGCATAATGCAGAAGAGCTGTATGGTGCCCTCCAGTGGCATGTCTGTGTAACAGAAGGAAAAATGTGTGCATCAAAGTTACCCCCTCCACATACACACAGAGATACCTCATTTCTCTTAGAGATTTCCCCAGTCTTCTTTCTATTCTTATGCAAACACATGTCCAGGGTTAGCATGAAATCTCACCTATGAGATAGATAAGTGCATTAGACAGACTCTTCCATGATCTGAGAATTTGAGATCCATCTATCTTTTGAGGTACTGCTTGCCTCGATAGTACCGTGTCATCTTAGGAACACCCACTGAGCTTCTCCAGGGTAAGCTAACCACTTTCCCTGACCATCTTTGTTAGGTTATCACTTCAACGTGGAAAAACAGGAAACATAAGATTAGACAAATTTGCCACTCAACCTCATTAGCAAGGTGGAGTTCATATTTGCATGCTACACAGTACATGGTGAGGAAACTAAGGCAAAAGAAATTGCAAATGCATAATGCATTCCTTGATTGGCTTTGACTTGAGGTGTTTTTAGGCATATTAATATAGCTATCTATTTTAAAAGGAAGTATATGGTAATTAAAAATCAGAAAGAAATCGTGACCATTAAATGTTTGGAAAACTTGACAGTGACGTTATCTATGCTTGGTATTTTATTTATAAGAAAAGTTTTAATTACCTTAAATTATGAACACATGTGTATGTGTATGTGTAAACAGTCTTGCTGTCCACGCCAGGTTACCCTTGAATTTGGATTCTCCTGTTTCAGTCTCGTGAATGCTGGGATTTCAGGCATGTTCCAGCACGCTAAAGATGGATCCAATTTCCTGCAATAGAGAAGTACATTTTGATTTATTTCTCCTCGTGTTAATTTTGATGCATCTTTAACTTTAAGTTGTTAAATTTATTGGTATGAAGTTATTCATAAAATTCTTTTATTGTATTTTTAATATCTATTAAATTTTAGGCCTGTCTTATTTTCATTTCCAACCTGGTAACTTATTTTCTGTCATGTTTACTTAATAATCCTTACTAGTTTTGGAGAGTGAACTCTGGATTTGATTGCTTTTCTCTATTGTGTATCTGTTTTCTCTTTGATTTGTCTTTGTGTTACCTTCTTTCATTCTATATTCTTCAGAGGTAATTTGGTGTCTTTCACTTGTGATTTAAGACGAAAACTTAAATCCTAGACGTGTGTTCTTTCTTCTCTGCTAATATGAAGTTGTCTATATTGCCACTAATTAGTACGTTAGCTACATACAACACAGTTTATTGTGCTACAGTTTTATTATAATTTAATTTTAAACATTTTATTATTTTCCTGTTTTTTGACTGATAAATTATTTAGAAGTACATTGCTTATTGCACGTATTTGGAGATTTCCATTTTGTTTTTGCTATTGATTTCTTGTTGAGTTTCCCAACTTTCCACAAGTGGTATCTGTATTGTTTTAATCCATTAGTCTTGTAGGAGGTTTGCTTACATGTGTTTTTTGATAGATATTCCATGTTTAGTTGAAAGAGATATATGTTCACAGTTTTCTAGCTATACTGACTTATATAGATCTGTTAGGTTAACCTAGTTACTTACTTTTATTGACATTTCATTTGCTTATTTATCAGTCATTGAAAAAAGGTTGATGAAGGATCCTGTAGTAAATTTGTGTCTTAATTCTCTTTATTTTTCTTTAATGTATTTCATATTACTAGGTACATGTGCACTTAGAATTTTCATGGTTTATTATTCAATTGTCTTTTTCATATTTTATGAAATGTTGCTCTTTGCACTAACTGTGCTAATGTTACACTAACAATGTTCTTACGTTAGACTCACTTTCATGTGATATTGATTTAGTCAAACCAACTTGCTTTCATTTAAAACTATTTGTATGCTGTATCTTTTTTCATTCTTTTACTATGAATCAATGTCCTTAAAATGTATCTCTTATAGACAATATAAAGTTGGACTTCTGTTTTAGTCTATCAAATTATGTCTTTTAATTGCAATATTTGATCTATTTAATTGTAGTGTTACAATTTTACTGTAACTTTAAATGCAGTATTAGTCTATTTTAATTTAATCAATTCATTTTATTTTTGTATTTAAATCTACCATCCAGGCTATGAGTTTTGCATTCATTCCTCTGCTCTGCTTTTATGATTTCTTTCTTCAGTATAAATTCAATATTTTGTTTCCAGGTAGTATAATCATGTAAGTTTTAGGTTTTACTTATCTTTTTTTTAATCTTTTGGTTCCTCATCTAAAGGAAACCATGCAATGTTATTTTTAGAAGTTTAGAAAGAAATCTTGACCGTCACCCTTTAACTATTTATAAGTGCTGTGTCTTTCTGTGCTCTGGGACTTCTGTTACACATACCTTAAGGCAGATCTTCTAACTCATATTGTTACCCATGTTTAGTTTCTTTTCACTCCCTCTTAAATTCACATATCTATATTGCTTACTACACTTCAATTTTAATATACCTGTTGACACCTGAGAATCTTGTCCGCTGTTTTTTTTTGTAAACCTGAATGATGATTTCAATTCAGAATGCACATCTGATTTATATAGATTCCAATTCATACTTGAAATTGTACTTATTTTCATTTGTTTTATGTACCTCTTATTCTGCTTTCCAGAACATGTTAATTATAGCTATTTAAAGACCTTTTTTAACTCCAATATCTATGAATCTATAGTTCAGCTTTTATGTGTTTGCTTTTATTATGATAAAATATGCATAATGCAAAATAATCATCTTAACAAATTTTAAATTTGTAGTGTAATGACATTAAATGTATTCATATTTTTCTACACCATCAACTTCTATTTTTAAATATATTGACTATTTGCCCCATTTTTCCGTCTCTTTGAATGCCTAATAATTTTATATTTCCCATATGTAGGATGTTAAGCTTTGCTTTTTGGCTCCCTATTCAAACAGCTTCAATGGAGACGAAAAGATTTATCTTGTTTTTATTTCAGGCTTCTTCCCTTTATTTGGATTTTGCTGTTTTTTCCAGCACACGATGCCATCATAAAACTCAGCAAGTGTTTGGTGGGAAAAACAGGCTTAAGGTTGGGGCTTCAGTTTGCAATCTAATATGTCAGCCTGTTTAACCATGGATTCACAGACCCATTCCTTACACACACCCTCAACACTACTCCCCAATGTTCTTCTCACAACTATTTATGTCCTCGTGGAAGAAAGCAGTAAGCAGGCACATTTCCCCGGGGTGTGTGGCAATGTATCTCTCTCCCACTCTCACACCTGCACATGACTATGATGTCAGTAATAGAATTTTCCTGACGATATTCCATTTTTTTTCTCCAAAGACCAATTTGGGAAAAATGATCTTATGGCATGCTTTAAGCAGTCCATGAGCAGATAGCCACATTGTCATTACTTAGAATTTTGTTTTGTTTTGTTTTTGACTTTTAGAGATAAAGTCTCACTATGTCGTACAGGCTGATCTTGAACTCACGACTTGAACTCACAATAGCCCAGGCTAGTCTCAAACTCACAAGGGATTACCCTCCTGAGTGCTGGGATTACAGGCATGCACCACCACACCTGGCCAAGTTGTCATTTTTAGTGACAGACTTCCAATTTCTTAAAATCTGGACTAAAGACTAGTGATTGTTTCAATAAATTCTAAGAGTGCAGATCCCTACCTTGCTACAAATGTCCCCTTCTTGACTGTAAACTTGGGGTGAGAGCACAGAAATGGTGCTTTACTCTAGTAACAAATTAAGTGAGTTTCCCCAGGCCCTGAGAGCCAGCTTGGCCCAGTACAATAAATTTACTTTTAGGTTATAATGTAGGGGGGTTCTAGCTTTTTTGCTATCTGTTGACTCTGTTACTCTTGCTTCTGACAAACCTGTAATAATAATTAAAAGTCACTGAGTGCTAACCCAGTACCAGGCCTTGTGCTAATGGCATTTTTTGTGTTATGTATTATTTCTGATCATGATT